CTGAGCAGGAACCACTTTTCTTCAGAGACAACCAGAGAAAAAGGTGATGTTGGTGGGAGGAGATCTTTGTAACACTTACCTTTGGGAAGAGCTTGCTTTGTCCTCAGCTTGGACACCAGAGGATCTTGTCTCACATTACCAACTTGTTCACAGTCGTTGGATGATGTAACATGGCTTAGGGAGCAATGAGGACCAGTTACTCCCTAAGGGAAGGCAAACTGGGAGCTGAAGGCATCCACAACCCGGGGCATGGTCCCACAGAGCCCAAACGCAGCAGCAGCAGCAGCTCTTGTTGATAGCCCAGGAGAAACCAAGAGCCAAGTTCAAGCCAGGAAATCTAATGGACCTGGACCAGGACAGAGCACAGCCCCAGCACAGCTCTAGAAGTGGTTAACAGCCCAGGGCTGAGCTTAAATAGTACCCTGAACCCTGGGCAGAGGGCGTGGGTGGAGGCCCCAGGTGATGCTGGCCATGGCAATTACCATGGTTGCACTCTCTGATGTCTCAGGGAGGGGGGGAATTGGGGTTTTTTTCCCCCACCCAGTGCCCTAAATGCAGCTCCAGCATCGTGTCCAGCCTTCTCAGACGTGTCCCTACACACAGAGGATGGAAGGATGGAGCAGAGAGGAGCAACGAGCTCCTTTGCTGTGTGTTAACAACTCATCTCTCCCGAGTTACACAGAACAAGACACTTCAGATGTCAAGTTCTCTGTTTCTCAGGGAAATTGGCCAAATGCCTCTAATTTTCCTGAAAACTTTGATTAAAAGCTTTATAGCATTTCACTTCATACTGGTTTAAAGCTGGTTTTAACTGGTTGCCATTGCAGTCATTCACAGTTATTTTAGGAAGTCCACGGTTTACAAAGAGGCTTATTTTAAAACATAAAATTTATTGACTTTGTCTTTATAGAAGCTCCACGTTCTTCCAGCAATTGTATAGTTCATTAAACATAAAAGGTGTGTCTAGATTAAATGTTAAAAAAACCCCTTTGCCTACTGGGGTTTTTTTTAGAGCATCTTCCACCTTGGCCATGCACTGACGTACAGAAGAGTCAGAACTCAAATTGCTACACAAACCATCAACTTGTTACTCATCATCCAAAAAGAAAGAGGATTTATAGACATAAAGACAACACATCCCAAGAAGATTTTGGGTGGGACCCACTTCTGGCAGCATGCTAATGTATGTGTGCCCACGACAAGTTGTTAGCACAGCACCAGGTCCCCAGAGGCCACACCAAAGCTTTGTGCTTTCTGATGGTTCTTCCTTACAATGGTGTTGTGGTTTAACCTGACAGGCCACTAAAAAACCACACAGCTGCTCGCTCACCCATGTCCCTGCCCAGGGGAATGGGGAGACAATTGAAGGGGTAAGGGTAAGGAGACTCAAAGGTTGTGATAAAACCAATTTAATAAGTGAAATAAAATGAAATTATCACTGTGAGGGTGGTGAGACACTGGCCCAGGTTGCCCAAGGAAGTTGTGGATGCCCCCTCCCTGGAAGTGTTGAAGGCCAGGTTGGATGAGGCTTTGAGCAACCTGGTCTAGTGGAAGGTGTCCCTGCTGCTGGCAGGGGGGTTGGGACTGGATGAGCTTTGAGGTCCCTTCCAACCCAAACCAGTCTGGGATTCTATGAAATAATAATGATAATAACAATAATAATAATAATAGTGACAGTAATAATAGCAATGATAGAACATACCAACGAGTGATGCACAATCCAACTGCTCACCACCCACCGACCAAAGCCCTACTGGCTGCAAATGCCTTTTGAAAGCCTGGATATATATGGCATCAACTTCTGCACCCACAGCCTCCTCAGAGCCCTCTTCACCTCCTTGTTCCTCAGGCTGTAGATGAGGGGGTTGAGGGTGGGGGTCAGGAGGGTGTAACACGCTGAAACCAGCTTCACCTGATCCCACGAACACGCCTTGCGAGGCTGGACGTAGGCAAACATCCCCGGCACGTAGAAGATGGTGATGGCAACCAAGTGAGAGGTGCAGGTAGAAAAAGCTTTCAGTCTACTCTTGGCCAAAGGCATCTGCAGGATGGTGAGGAGGATGTACGTGTAGGAGACCAGGATCACCAGGACAGAGCCCATGGAGTTAAGCCAAGCATTGGAAACATGCAACACCTCGTTTACACGGGTGTCAGAGCAGGAGAGCTGCAGGAGGGTGGGTGGGTCACAGAAGAAGTGATTAATGCTCCTGGTTTTGCAGAAGGACAACCTCCCCTCCAGGACAGTGTGTACCAGGGAGGTGAGGAAGCTGATGGTGTACACCAGTATCATCAAGCCATAGCAACGTGTCTGGGACATGGTGGTGGTGTAAAGCAGTGGCTTGCGCACAGCCACGTATCGGTCATAAGCCATCACCCCCAGGAGGAAACACTCACAGATAAGCAGAGCAAGGAAAAAATACATCTGGACAAAGCAACCCAAAAAAGAGATGTGGCTTCTCCCCAGGAAGGTCATCTCCAAGGCTTTGGGGATGATAGTGGTGGAAAGGCAAAAATCCATTAAAGATAAATGGGTGAGGAAGAAATACATGGGGGTGTGGAGCTGGGGGTCAGCGTTGATTACCAAGATCATCATCAGGTTCCCCAGCACCACTAGAACATACAGGAATAAGAAGGTTATGAAGATGGTGGTTTGTAGTTCTGGGGTATCAGAGAAACCCAAGAGGATGAAACCAGACAAAAGAGTGTGGTTTTCTCCATTCATCATTTCTAGAAGATGAATTTGCACAGAAATAAAATGAATCAGTGAAATAAAATCCCTAAAAGAGAAATAAATTGGAAACAACAGAGTTTAATCCAGAAAGTAAAAGCAATAAAAAATAGTGGGGTTTTTTTTGAAAAACAAAAATACGAGGCAGTTGTGCTCCTGCCTTTAACCCAAGCTTCAGAGCCAAGAGGTGGAGGAGCTAATTACACACTCAGATATTAAAAGATAATAATTCTGCTATGTTTTATAGACATTGTACTAATGATAGGCTAAGAAAGAGAAAAATATTTATTCAGGTGTAAAAAGTCAAATAAACACTTTCTAAAATGTGGAAAACAAAGAAGATACAAATTCTTCCTATTTCCAGAAATCAGTGGTGATAATTCGTTTCTTTTTTCTTCTTTCTTTTTTCTTCTTTTTTCTTCTTTCTTTTTTCTTCTTTCTTTTTTCTTCTTTTTTCTTCTTTCCTTTTTTCTTCTTTTTTTTCTTCTTTCTTTTTTCTTCTTTCTTTTTTCTTCTTTCTTTCTTTTCTTCTTTTTTCTTCTTTTTTCTTCTTTCTTTTTTCTTCTTTTTTCTTCTTTCCTTTTTCTTCTTTTTTTTCTTCTTTCTTTTTTCTTCTTTCTTTTTTCTTCTTTCTTTTTTCTTCTTTTTTTCCTTTTTTCTTCCTTTTTTCTTCTTTCTTTTTTTCTTCTTTTTTTCTTCTTTTTTTCTTCTTCTTTTTTTCTTCTTTTTTTCTTCTTTCTTTTTCCTTCTTTCTTTTTTCTCTTTCCTTTTTCCTCCTTTCTTTTCTTTTTTTCAGATTGGATCCGTGCTTTTCTGTGGCCTCATTAGTTCTGGTGCAGCCGTTTTAATCATGAAATAATTGATGCTGTGTACTTGAAATAGTTTGGTTGGGTTCTTTTTAATCTCTAAATTTTTCTACTTTTGAAGAAAAAAAAAATAAATCCCTGGGTGTGCTGTCAAATATCCACATAATGGTGTTAAAATATATCATCTAAAATTCAAACTTTTTAAAGCTTCAACTTGGCTGTTCCCATCTCCCATGTTCAGCCCCTCTGCTGATGAATGATTTGATGGAAAATCCACCTGCAGATGTTTCCACCTCAACTAAAATGTCCTTAAATCAGTTTTAAAGGGGGTTAGATGTATATTTTTCAAGCAAACCTCCTAAGCTCTTGCTGCAGCACTTGGGTTCCCACTGTGGATGCTCTTGGAGAGCACGGATGGGCTTCCTTTAGATGGAGCTGCATCATCCCAGCCATGAAACTGCATCTGCTCCCCCAGAATAAGCTGAATTAACTCAACAGGAAGGCTGACACAAGTGCAGGAGGGTGATGAAGTCCCAGCACGACTTGTTTTATTCCACCAACCTCAGATCTTCTTGGTCAACGTTGCTTGGTAATGGAGATGGAGTTGTAGCTCCTTCTGGGTGACTCGTATCCCTGAAGTTTGTATTTTACTCTCTTGACCACGATTTCACCCCTGGGATTACACGGGTTGTGTCCTCGAGGTGCCTGTTTCCATCTCATGGAGACAACCTGTGGTGAGCAGCTCATACAGGAACCTCCAGCCTTGCAGAGGACAATCCTATCTTAAACACCTTCAAGGTTAAGAACATGATTAATATTTCAATACGAAATAAATAATTTTAAATAATAATAAAAATAGTTGAAATTTTGCAAGGAGGGACAGAGCTACTGTGAGCAGGAGCCTGTGCTGCAGGACTCCACAGAGCCCAAGCTTTTATTCTGAATTTCCTCTCATCTCAGCAGAAATATGGGCAGCTTCGGTCGTGTGAACAAAACAGAAGCATCAATTCAGCTTTTTTATTTGTTGGTTTAGGTTTGACAATTGATCATTTGATTGCAGAAATAAAAATTAAAGAAAATACAACTGTAACATTAATTTTTTTAAAAAAAAAAATCTGCTCCTCATAATTTATTACACCAGTTCCAGCTGCCACAAACAGGGACTGGTGTACGTTTTCCAGGTGTTGGTCAATATGAAGGTATTTTTTTGCAATATGAAGGACACAAACAGCTGAAGAGATTAATCAACTGAGTCATGGTGGAAGCAAAGCATCATGAAACAAGTTATGGGTTCAAGGACAACAAGGAGAGCAGCGAAACACCAGGATGAGGCTTCTTCTATCACCAGCACTTCCAAACACACTCAAACACAGGAGAGGGGCAGCATGAGATGGGTCACCAACTGGAAACATCAACCCCTTTGTTACCTGCTGGTTTAAAAGGAAAGGTGTTGGGGGATGTGGTGCCTACAGCTCCTTGAGAAGACCATCCCACGGGTGGAAGCCCTGGCTGGAGGGGAGATGCTCAGCAGCAGGTCGCCCAGGCTGGTTGTCAGGTGGGTTTTATCCTGAATGAAGTGTTACCTCAGATGTTTGTGCAAGCTGCTCTCCCTCAGGACCCTCCTCCAGCTGATCATTATTTTTACCTGCTCAGCCGAAGCCCTTTTCAATTCCCCACACCCCAAAACCTTTCTGGTTCTACCAACACCTCCAGACCAGCTCTCCTGTGGGGACCTGCCCGTTCCACCACTTGATCTTGCAGAAAGACAAGTCCAAGGTGGTTTGTTTTTTATTTATCCAACTATCATAATCTTCTGTATTGACAAATAAAAGCCTTTTACTACAAACAAGAGCTGCTTGATGAGCTAATAATGTATTGGAAGACGTTGAAAACAAACCTAATGGAGCATCTGCTCTATGGATGGTTTGAACATGGCCATGGGGAGTCTTCTCCACCAGATCTATTTATTTCCATACCCAGTGGACTCTCAAAAGCATCACACAGCTGCTTGGTAGATATAACAAAATAAACTCAGATTTATTCTGATGAATCTTGAGCACCAACATTTCCTGAAAGCTTCTCCTAGGTGAAGAGATGTTATCAAACCCTTAGTGCAAATATTTAATGACTTTGTCCCACACAAAGGATGGGGAAAGTGTGGGGAAGCAAGATGGGAAAAGTATCTAAAGGGCTTGAAATGTTTTTCATGTAGATTTGTTTTTCTGCTAGAAGGCACCAGCTTTTTAGTCCTGGAGATGCCCTGAAGGTGGGTAGAAAAGGATTTCCCCCTGGTTTTTTTTTAATTTATTTCTTTCTCATTCAGTGCTGGGCTAAAATCAAAGCTTGTGAAGTGAGAACAGCAACATAATAGAGGGGAAAAAATAACCATCACACAACTTTAGGATTAAAAAAAGAAAAAGAAGAGATATTTCAAAGATTATTTGGAAAAATAAAACCCACAGAAGGCAAAATAATCCACTGAGGATACCCACTTGGGCAGGGTGTGTGTCTGCAGGTGAACAACAGAGCTTGAAACCCCAGAGCCAGCCAGCTCGGTACTGTACTTGCTCCATCTCCATCATAAGGTGGCCCCAGACCACCAAGACCTTGTTTTTTGGGGGGAAATAAGGATTTAAAATCCTCCCTCCCACCAGCCCCCTGGCCCTTTACATGCCTAATTAAATTCACAGCAGAGCAGAGGCTCAAATATGACTTGTCCCCTTGTACCATGAGTGCTTTGGTGACCAACACATGGTCACAGCGTTCTTTCACGCAACCTGATGCAGTTGTCTAGACCTAAAAACTCCTGGAAAATACCATTAACATTCTCCTCACACCAGGAACATCAGCAGAGGACATTTATTAATATAAAACATGAGTTAGACACTGGCTAGTTCAACATTGGCAGGGTGAAGCCACCACCTGCATTGTCCCTTCAGCTCTCTGAAGCCTGAAATGAAGTTGATTATTCAATTTTTATAATAGCTAAATAATATTTAAGTCATATTTAAATGACATTTACATTGGATAATAACTTTCTGCCCAATACATGGTCACTGTCAGGTCTCAAGCTACAAACAGGGGAAGTCCCATTTCTTCTAGAAGAGCACGTAGCCTTGGTTCAAGGAGAAATGGGTTTTCCAGGTGTCCTGCTTCCAGGTACATTTGGCCCCTGCTTCTTGCAGGTGCAACATCTAACCCTCCTTCTTGAAGGTCAAACATCAAACCCTCCTTCTTGAAGGTCAAACATCTAACCCTCCTTCTTGAAGGTCAAACATCTAACCCTCCTTCTTGAAGGTCAAACATCAAACCCTCCTTCTTGAAGGTCAAACATCTAACCCTCCTTCTTGAAGGTCAAACATCAAACCCTCCTTCTTGAAGATGTAACATCTAACCCTCCTTCTTGAAGGTGCAACATCAAACCCTCCTTGAAGGTGCAATATCTAACCCTCCTTCTTGAAGATGCAATATCTAACCCTCCTCCTTGAAGATGTAACATCCAACCCTCCTTCTTGATGGTCAAACATCAAACCCTCCTTCTTGAAGATGCTATATCTAACCCTCCTTACCATGGAAGCGCAGTCCTCTCCTTTCAGCTGACCAGGAATCGTGGATGGACCAGCAGGAGAGGACTCTACCTTTTGCTTTCCTCATGGCGTTCTTCATGTCTGTGTTCCTCAGGCTGTAGATGAGTGGGTTCAGCATGGGGACTGCAACGGTGTACATCATGGAGACCACCTTGTCATGCTCCAAGGAGTGTCTGGAGCTGGGGCGCAGGTACATGAAGAGGGAGCTGCCGTAGTACAAAGTGATGGAGACCAAGTGAGAGGCACAGGTGGAAAAGGCTTTGTGTCCACTGGCCACAGAGTGGAACCTCAAGACAGTGGAGAGAACCAACAAGTAAGAGGTTAGGATGAAGACTGTGGTGCTTAGCACGTTGAAGCCCACCATGGCAGAAACAATCACCTCGTTGACATGGGTGTCAGAGCAGGAGAGGGCTAACAGCGGTGGTCCATCACAGAAGAAATGATTGATCCTCATGGACCGGCAGAATGGGAGACAAAATATGGAAACTGTGTATATGGTGGAGCTGATCACACCAGCTAAGTAGGCACCAGCCACCATCCCAAGGCAAAGCCTCTGGGACATGACCACAGAGTAGAGCAAGGGGTTACAAATGGCCACGTAGCGATCATAAGCCATGGCAGCCAGCACGTAGCACTCAGCCGTGGCACAAGTGGCAAAGGAGAAGAGCTGAGTGGAACACCTAACGAAGGAGATAACCTTCTTCTCCACTACAAAATGCAGCAAGGTTTGAGGGATGATGGCGGTGGAGTAGCAGATGTCCAGGAGAGACAAGTGACTCAGGAAGAAGTACATGGGGGTGTGTAGGCACAAATCCATTCTGATTAACACAATCACTCCCAGATTTCCTATTACAGTGACCACATAGATGGCAAAGAATAGGACAAAGAATGTCACCTGCAGGTCTTCTCGGCTTGTAAAGCCCAGGAGAATAAACTCGGATGCAAAAGTCTCATTCTCTTTAATCATGTTGAATAGATCATCAAGTTCAGCTGCTTTGTGGCTTTCAAAGAGAAATGCTTAATAGCATCTGTCAAAAATGGGAAGAAAGTCCATTTTTATCTATCAAGCAGTTACAAGAAGTCAACAGAAAGTAAATTCTCTTTGAGAGAAGGAAAACTCAAGTTCTCGAGGTTGATCTCCCCGTTCAACCTTAGGCAACCACACACAACCACCTGCAACACACTTGGGTGGATAATTTAAGGCAAGGAAGGAGAGCAACACCAGGATAAAGTGGAGATCTTCTAGTGGCCTCCCAGTACCTGAAGGGGCTCCAGGAAGGCTGGGGAGGGACTTTTCATAAGGGCAGTTAATGATAGAACAAGGGGAAATGGGTTTAAGCTGAAAGAGGGGAGGTTTAGATGAGATATTAGGAAGAAGTTCTTCACTGTGAGGGTGGTGAGACAGTGTCCCAGGTTGCCCAGAGAAGCTGTGGCTGCTCCTCCCTGGAAGTGTTCTCGGCCAGGCTGGATGAGGCTTTGAGCAACCTGGTTTAGTGGAAGGTGTCCCTGCTGCTGGCAGGGGGTTGGAACTGGATGAGCTTTAAGGTCCAACCCAAACCAGTCTATTCTATTCTAAATAAATTGCAGAGCTTTCTCATAACTCCTCTCAAACCATTTACACGTGGAAGTCCAGGATTTCCACAATAACTGCTGGAAAATGGAATTATTTCTCATCTTTTGAGCGTTCCCAGTCCAGTTTGAGTACATGAGGGAGAAATATCTGTTCCCCGTGTCCCAGGAAGACCATTTCTAGGTGAAAACACTGGAAAACGTGACTTTCCTTAGCATGATTTTTTATCCTCATGTAGGATGGTGCAGAAAGAAGAGCCAGGCTATGTCTCACCTGACCTTTTGCTTTAGGAGTGATGCCTAACTTGGAAATAAAAGATAAATTCAGGTTTTGCTCTCTCTGCTCACTGGGGACAAATCAGCTGCTCCTAAAATCACGCTCTATGGCAGAGAGAATAAATCAACATTGATTTTTTTTTCTTGGAGAACATTAATCATCACTTGACAGAGTTACACCAGAGAGCAAAGCCAGTGTGTGTGCTGCCTGGTGTCTGCCAAACAGATCCAGACTTCACCGTTAGAATTATTGGATGACCCTTTGCTGAAGGGATGAGGGTCACCTCCAGATGCAGACAGCTCATTTCAGATGTACCTGGGAGCAACACGACTGGTTTCCTGATGTTATTAATGGGGATTTAAAGCTGCTCTTCGCTGCCCACGTAGAGATGCCGGAGGCGAAGCAGAGCCCAGGACATCCTCACAGCACTGGAAGATCTGTTAGAAATAATGAAAATTGAGCTGTTTGGGTCTGGAGCTGAATCCTCCCCCAGAGGCAGCATCCACCTGCCTACCTGCAGACATCTACCACCCTTGGAGAATTGACCTGAATTTCATCATTAACTAAGGCTAAGCCTTATTTTTTTGACTTGACAAGTCAACTGCTTTCTGCTGAGTGATCCGAGACGTAGATATGAAACCTGGGAAGCTGATAAGGCTGCAGCTTGTGCCCTGCACCATAGCTGCCTGCCAGGAATCACATCTCCCTGCAGCTTGAAGACACTGACTGGAACGGAGATAAATGACATTAAAAAGCCACCCCTTGCTGCCTTGGATTAGGTATTGTTCATGCTGCCAGCCAGGTGGTTGGTCCATGCTCTGCTAAATAACTGCCAGCAAACCCCCAAATATTTATCCTTGTCCTTGTGGGGAAAGGACCTTCATTTGTGACATCTGCTTTCCTATTCAAACCTCATAAGGTCTTGAATCTCTCGGGCAAGCCAGCACCAGACCTTTCAACAAGATGCCCCAGGTAGGACTCACCAAGCAGCCTGTCTTTAGCATTTCTCCAAGATTTAACTCCTGACAGTGTAGACTGGAGAAAGACCAGCCACTGCTGAGATGCTACAGCTGAACAGAGCCTTGCAGGGCATCCTCCTGCTCAGATAGTGATTAGTCCCCTCTCATGATGGTCGTTATCCTCAAAATCTTGGTACAGGAACAAGGGGAAGGTGCCAGATCTACAGAGCAAAAATCCACTCTTTGGCTAGTTGGTGTTGTAAGAGTCTCACAGCCCAGACTATCTAGTGGGGTTGCTCAACCTGGAGAAGAGAAATCTCCTCAAGACCTTATTGTGGCCTTCAATACTTGAAGGGGGTGTATAAGAAAGATGGGGACAGACTTTTTAGCAGGCCCTTTAGCCACAGGACAAGGGGAAATGGTTTTAAATTAAAAGAGGGGAGATTTAGACTAGATATAATGAAGACATCTTTTACACTGAAGATGGTGAGACACTGGCCCAGGTTGCCCAGAGAGGTGGTAGAAGCCCCTGGAAACATTCAAGGTCAGGCTGGATGAGGCTCTGAGCAACCTGATCTGGTTGAAGATGTCCCTGTCACTGCAGGGGGTTGGACTGGATGGACCTTCAAAGGTCCCTTCCAACCCAACCCAGTCTGTGATTGATTTTATGAATGTAAAAAAGCCTCATTAATCAGATGGTTTCAAATGTGAAGCAAAAGTACCCTGAGCTTACACCTCCAGCATCCCTCTGGTCTATCAAGGTGACCATCTCTGCTATCCTGAAGCAGAGCAGGGCTGGGGGACAAACTGTCACAAGTCCTGGGGGCACTGTGGATGCCACAGGACAAAGTGGGATTTTCACAGTGGGGATTTCTTCTGCTTTGCTCTCAGGTCCAGTGGAAATAGTTTTTATACTCACAGCAGCTCCTCACTCCAGCTGGACAGGTGCACCGTGGTCTTCTCCCATGCAACACCTACCCATGCTTCCAGAGCTTTGTTCTTCTCAGTATTCACAGAGCTGGAGGGTAAAACAAGTCAGGGAATAACATCTTGACCTCCACAGAGGTGTCAGACCAAGCAAGACTCAACCCCTGCCAAGCTCAGAGGGGTCCCAAGACCCCCCACTGCCAGGTCAAGACACAACCAAATGGTTTTTAAAATGAATGACACCAGGAGGTGTTATTTCAACAATACCAACTCAAAACTGGTGCCTTTAATAGTTTCATAAATGCTTAAAAAAATATATATATATCCCCAAAAATGGTTTATTGCAGTTCCTGCTCCATGTACAAGATCTATATTCTAAAACTCTTATTTTTTTGCAGAGTAGCTCTTCTTGGAAGCATTCAACCCTCAGTGCAGACTGCACATGATGAAACATCCAGCACTCCCTTTTTTTCACTTTATGCTGATGTTCAGAATGAAAAAAAGAGAAAGAAAAGAGAAAAGAGAAAAGAGAAAAGAGAAAAGAGAAAAGAGAAAAGAGAAAAGAGAAAAGAGAAAAGAGAAAAGAGGAAGAAAAGAGGAAGAAAAGAGGAAGAAAAGAGGAAGAAAAGAGAAAAGAAAAGAGAAAGAAAAGAGAAAGAAAAGAAAAAAGCACCTTAATTTCCATTTTGATGGATGTGCCTTTATTTTTCAATCAGAAACTCTTCTTATACTTTTTTCCCCAAAAGATCAGAGGCAGCTTCCAGGAAAAGACAAAAGTCACCTCTTTATCTTCTCCAAAAAAGTATTATCTAGTAGGGAACCCCCCTGCTTTTACCCACCTAGCACCCAGTATCTCACAGCGAAGGGTGGTTCCTGGGTTCCTTCCCTGGGAGGGTCACCAGGAGGAACCCACCACGCTCAGCCAGGAAGCAGGTAACTATATAGGAACATCATCCCTTTAATTCCACATCTAGGAGCCCTCTGGGATTATTAGGTGGTGATGGACACGATTTACCTGAGTCAACAACACAGAATGAAATCTTTCACCTACATGGGATAAAAGCTCAGAGATTTCCATATATATTTTAATTTACCTTTGTTGTAAAATCCAGGAGAGCTTTGTCAGGGGTGAAGATGAGCTGGAGGGACCTTTTCTTAGAGTGATCTATAGGAAACACTTGGTGCAGGAGGTAATAATTTAAAGCACCAAGAATTATCATTTGAAGGTGTGTAGGTTACCCAGCCTACTCAAGAGAAAAATAATTCATAAGGCAGAATGGATTTAATCATCTAGATTCCATAAAACCTGAAGCCTCACCCAATAATTCCTTTAGAGGGAAAAAAATATGCAGATTAAAGCATCATTTCTAAAAACAAGGGGAACCTGGACAGAAACTTGTTCAAACATCCAACATCTCTGGTTCATTTTTAACAAGCTCAGGAGCTGAGGGAAATGAAAAAGGATCAAAATGGGATTGGCCAACTGTAGAGCTGAGATGATGGTGGTTTTATTTATCCACTATTTCTCCATTTCCTGAACAAGGACAAGCCACCTCACCACCCAAGGCTTATTAGCACCTAAAATAATAAGTTTTTATCTTTAAAAAAAAAAAAAAAAAAGGAGACTTTATTTCCAACAATATCCAATAGATGGTGACGATGTCTAAGAAATCCTGAGCAGTATTTTTTTTAGCCACTTCTTTATTTCTCCCCCCTCCAACATTCACTTTTGACACTTGAAAAGGGGTGTTACAGTTATTGCCCATCTCCTGGGGCTGACAACAGAGCTCAGTGGTAGGTAGAAGGAGCAAAAATAAGTTATTTGTGTATAAACAAGCATGGATTTTATTCAGAAGTAGATGAAATGCAACTTTGGAGAGTGGAAAGGGCATGTAAAGAGCTGTCAGGGCCAGCAACAGCACAAGTCAGCTTTGAAAATAATAATAAAATTATAATAATTTAAGAAAAAAAAAGTTCTAGGCACCAACCAGGGTCACACCACAATTTGGGTTATTTTTCATTGTGTTAGGGAGTATTTTCCCCACTGTGGGTCACACAGCTCACAGCAAGGGGCTGCAGGTGGAAATTCCTCATCCAGGACTCCACTGTCCCAGACCATCATCATCATCATCTCCACGTCCTATCCCAGAGGAGCTCGTTAAGCTGATTTCATCATCTCCAACCTTTGAGTGACAAAATGCTACAGAAACACAAAAGTGGGGGGTTTTTTTTGGA